TTTTTCCTTCTTACCCTACTTTATTTTCAAATGCTCTTGGGCAAAAAAATAATATTTTGAATTAAGTGACTTTATATATAGTGCAAATTTATAAGATGTTATTTTAAAATTGTAACATTCTAAGAGTGACGTGCTATATATATCTTTACTATACCGATTGATCTATTTTTTGTGAAGACATGAGTCTCTTTAAAATAAGTAAATTTTTCATATTTATTTCAATGATATTTTATTACTAATATATTTTAATAAGTTCATTAATTATTATTTTTATTTGATTTTGTAATTGAAACACAATAATTACATAATGCAAAGATGAAGAAGAATGTTAGAGGAACAACATATAGATATATTTATATGCTCATATAAGATTCATTTCATAATTGCCAAAGCTGTCTAGGACATATATAGTTTATTCATAATAGGTTATAATTTTCTATTGCACTCTTGACACAAAATAGATATATGTGTAATGTGCTTAATTAGTAAGGTCGCTGCCCGAGGTAGTTGCCCAGAGGACCATAGTTGCAACCAATTAAAGTTCCACCATTATTGCACCTCACCTTAGCGCACCCCAGACGAACCGAGTTACGCCACACCACCTGAGTGTAATGCCCACAAACCGCACTGGGGGCACAACTATTGGAGTTGTAGTCGTAGTTTGCCTTCTCATCCACCCACATTTGAACGGCATTGCCCAGAAAGGTCAGCACTGGCCCATGCCAGGTTCTCCCCCGTAAGGTCCACCGGAATGCACCATCTTGCAGTCCCCAATATGCTGGTTGAGATAGTTTTGGGCGTAGGTTGCCACGGTGGTGTTCCAAGTCATGGGGGCCACCCCGACTGCAGCACGGGCCGTATTCTGAGCGCTAAGGTAGTCTTGTGGCGAGTCCTGAGCATGGAAAAGGCGGATGACTAAGGCTAGGGCCAGGAGACAAGCAAGGGCCTTCATCATTGATCTCATGCTTCTGATGTCTATGAAATGAAAATATTTGAGTGAAGAATGAATGTTTGGGTGATGAACAATCTGTGAATCGAAGGGGGTTTTTACAATGATCCAATGTGGAACGTTATTGGAGAAAGGTATATAATCATTTTTTTTTCTCTGATTACTTTGAGATGGTTGAAATAGTTTCACATATGGATTTAACATTGATGCATATACCAAATTGTTGATGTTTTTGTTGATTTTGTTAAAGGTTATGATTTAGATTTTATGGACAACTTTAACTATAATTGTTTTTTTATGACTTAGGTATATAATTAAATCAATAAATATATTCAATATCACTATTCAATAAAGTGAAAAGAGTCAATTATTACTAATTAATATCTACAATAATATGTTAAAAGTTATTTGCATATCATTTTTCTTTTGTTAACTATTGTTGATGAATAGTGTTTATTAGTCCTAAATCATACTCCTTTCGTTTCAAAATAATTACTTTTTTTTTTACTTTAAATATGACCCAAATTAATTATTATTTTTATTTTCTAAGATAAATAAATATTATTTTTTTATTTTAACTTTATTATTATCTATTTATTTTAATTAATTATCCTATCACAAAAGATCTCACACTACTAGAAAAAGGCAATATGTCGGTCAAGACCAATGACCGAATAGGGTCATATTTTGACTGAACAAAGTGTACTTTGGTCAAATTCAATGACCGAATTGTTGGTCCGAATAGGCTCTGTAGGAAATAAAATTTCGGAGAGAAATTCATCTTGACCGAAATTCAATACTATTTTGGTCAAGAGTCTTGACCGAAACTTTGGCTGAGAAATCAATAAAAAAATCATTTATTCGGAGATATATAATGACCAAAATATTTAATTATTTTTTAATTTAATACTATTTCGGTCAAGACTCTTGACCGAAACATTGAGTGAGAGATCAATAAAAAAATCATATATTCAGATAAATACAATAACCGAAATATTTAATTAATTTTTAATTCAATACTATTTCGGTCAAAATGACTGATTGAAATAATAAAGCAAAATGCAAAAAAAAAAATATTAATTAATTTTAATTTAAATGGTAAAAATTATAATAAAATTTGGTATTAAAAAAATCAGTTTTAGCATCATCAATTATATACAATCATTATTTATTTAATTCAATGATCTTTTTTATATAGTTTTTAATTATTATTATACATATTTACTAATAATTACAATTAAATATATAGACATGTACAAAAAAATGAAAAGAACACAAAAAAATTAACATTTTTCAAAGGAGTCCAACATAATTACAAGAATAAGTCAAATTGACAAAAGCATATAAATTAAAGTATGCAAATAAATTAGCTAAATATATAAAAAATAAAGATTTAAGAAAAAGTATTAAATGAAAATGAAAAATTACCTCCAAAATGTTGTCCCATTGTTCACCACCTTTAAAAACCTTGAAAATGAAAAATTAAATCATTAGTATACAATTAAAACAACCAACAATATAATAAACATAAAAAATAAAAATAATTTTACATAATAAAACAATTGAAAAAATGAAAATAAAACAGATGGTAAACAAGGAATTAACATTGGTTTTGATATGTGAAGATATGTATAAAACTTAAAGAGAAATAAAAATTGTGATGAACAACAAAAATAAAATGAAAAAAATGAAGAGATGAAGAAGTAATTAATGATAATTTGCAAAGAATTATTGAAAGTTAGAAGAATAAGAGGTAAAGAAAAGACTTGAAGTTGGAGAGGAAGAAAGAAAACGAAAGAGAGATTGCAGAAGTTGGAGAAGTGAATAGAATAGTCTGGGTTGATGTATATATAAGCTGAATATTATTTCAGTCAATATCATTGACCGAAATAAAAGAGGCGAAAAATTCAAACACTTTCGACAGAAAAAAATGGGGGGAAGCAGGAGTAGAAGATTAATTCAGTCAGTAATTATGACCGAATTAATTCTAGCAGAAAATTGAAAAAATTTGATTGATTTGGCAACAAAGTCCAAGGGGGTGTATGGCCTTATTTCGGTCAAGGATGCATGACCGAAATAAAATCCCCC